GGATTTACAGCTGGGACACATTTTTTATTTGCCGAAAATACCATTTAATCGCCCCGGCACTATTCGCAAATATGACATGAATCTGCTGAATATTTTCTGCAAAAACAACCGTTCAGGATGTCAGCCCCACTTCCAACACCCTGAGGGGGCCCACGCACCTCTACCCACCCCGGCCCTGTCGCTAGGGCCCATAACTGGGGTCTGGGAGACGCCAATGAATTCCCTCCTTTGCCTGGAGTACAAAGGGAGCTGAACTGGGGTGGCCCCTGGTGCAAGCACATGCCCTAGCCATGGTGCTATAGAATCAGCATCTGCTTTGCCTGCCCCAGTGACTATTCAAATATTACAGACACAGCGGAACAGCTTCACCAGCAGAGAGACTCTTCCCAGACCATCCCATAGGCCAGTGACTGGGGCACCTCTTGTAACGCAGAAGACCCGAGTTCAGATTCCTCTTCCGTGGCAGGCAGTGAAGGGACTGAATCCACGGCAGAGCAGCAGCCTAATTACTGGGCTGGTAGTTATATGGGTCAGAGATCCCAGGGCCAGAAGGGACCACTGGGGTCAGCTAGTCTGACAGGCCAGAGGCCTGCCCCACAATCATTCCCAGAGCAGAGCTTTAAGGAAAACACCCAGTCTTGATTTAAAAATTGCCAGTGATGGAGAATCCACCACAATCCTGGGTAAATTGTTCCAGTGGTTAATTACTCTCCCTGTTCAAAATGTAGGTCTTATTTCCAGTCCGAATCTTCAACTTCCAGCCCTTGAATGGTGTCATGACTTTCTCTGCTAGACCGAGAGCCCATTATCAAATATTTATTCCCCAGGCAGGTGCTTACAGAGGGTGATCAAGTCACCCCTTAACCTTCTCTTTGTTAAGCTAAACAGATTGAGTTCCCTGAGTCCATCACTATAAAATGTTTTCTAATCCTGTAATCATCACCAACTCCTCCTCCATTCTGTGAATCTAACCCTTTATTTCCTTTGCTTTTACGTGAAAAAAGTGCCCAGAAATTTTAACAAAGCTAAATTCTTGTCAATTCTCGATTCACTGAAATGTTTTGGAATGTTTTATTTCCCTTTGGGTCGAGTCAAGTTTGGGTTTTTGAACTGCCAGGGACTGGTTAGTCACACAGCTCTAGTGGGGATGAAGTACTGAGGGTGGGGGCTTGTGAGAATCCAGGACAGTCACTTATTTGCATCAGATCTGGGAGCCTCTCTGAGACTCCCCGACAGAGATGTGATCCATTTTGTGATTTTGCTTTTTTCTCACTGTTTCCTCATCCTTTCTCCAGTCTATTTTGTCCACCTGTTAACATCCTGTCTGGCATGTAGATGGGGAGCTTTCGGACCAGGGACTGTCTTCTTCGTTCTTCGGCTGTACAGCCCCTAGCACAGTGGGGCCCTGACCCTTGATTGGGGATCCTAGCTATTGTTCCCAGCATTATTCCTTCACCTTTTCAAAGGGGTGCACTAGAAGGAAAGTGACCATGGCCAGAACAGGGAGGACACTGTTCACAATAAACTGAACACATGGTCAGGGGGGAAATCTTAGGATCCACTGGCATCGGGCACTGGCTCCTCCATTTGGCCCATCACACCAGAATACGGACAGGTTTTCTTAGCAGCTGTGCCAGCATGTTAACCTCTCTAATTGCACTCCATTTACACAGCACCAGCTCCCTCATTGATTCCTCGTAGCAGGAAATTTTATGAGGTCTCGGCCTGCTTCTGATCTCACTGATAGCTGGCTGGAAGGACTTTCCAGGGCTCAGAATCCAGCCCTGGGCACTTACAAGACTGTTTTCCATGTCTCCCAACCCAGCCAAACGCAGGAGGTGCAATTTTATGCAGCCCCAAAGATGAATAAAGAATGCGGATGCGGCTAATCATCCTGCGTATGTCAAATGAGGACTGAAGAGTTTTCAAAAGTTAACTGCTCTGGATCACAAATACCATCCAGAACAAACAACGACTGCGGGCTGTACTAAAAAATAAGGGCCCGTCCCTGCAAAGCCTTATGGTGGTGCTCCACTTCACACACGGGACCGGCCCATTGAAAGCACTGGAGTAACTGACATGCCTAAAGCTAGCCATGGGCCTGAGTCTTTAGGATTGGGCCCAGAGCAGTTAAATGCCATTTCTTCCTTTGGATGCCTGCTGAGTTCTGAGTGCAGGGTTCTGGGTTTGCCCCTTAAATAGATACTGACAAGAGACCCCTAAAGCAGAGCATTTCCCTGCACACGTTATGTACTCTGTCTTCCCTCTGCTCTTGCAGGAGAATTACAAAGCCCTGAACCTTAGCTGGATAGGTGGCTGGCCACAGTCACACACCTGGCATCGCTCTCTGTGTCACCCAGCCATTCCTGGGTCATCCAGCACCCGGTGTGATGGCTGTGAGGCCTGCGCTCAGGGGCGAAATAAGCCAGACTGTACCTGCAGTTGGGCTGGAATTATTCCACATACACTGATGAATGAAATCGCCAGACTGGCATCCGCGATCTGCTGCTCTCTGGACTGCAGGTCCACGTCGGGTGGATCTGGTGGTGTCTGCTGCAAACCAGCTGGCTGAAGTTTCCGAAGGGCAGACAGCGAGCACTGAGGGGTTAATCTGCCTGCTTTCTGTGTTTCAGCAACAGCCAGCAACCAATCAGAGCCCAATAGAAATAGCAGTTTATAGAAAGCCCACCACTTTCCCTCTTATCCTAATGGCTTCTGTGCATTACGCTGCTGGGCTTCCGAGAAAATGGATTTCCTTCTTGATTTGGTGAGAAAGTAACTGCAACACTGGGGCCCATGAGGCGGCAGCATCACTGACCCCAGCAATGCCAGCGAGAGCAATTCACTGTGTGGATTACTTAGAATCAGAGCTTTCCACATCCGTGAGCAGATCCTGCAGCTAACAGCACCTCGGGGAGCGCAAACCACTCACCAGCCCAGAAATGTCTCTCACTCTCCTCGTGGCATATCAAAGGCTGCGTATTAACACCTAGCCCTGATCTAGCACTTTTCTTCTAGTGAGCTCAAAGCCCTTTGTAAAGGTGGCCAGTATTATTAGCCCCATTGTACAGATGGGGAAACTGTATTAGCCCCATTGTACAGATGGGGAAACTGAGGCCCAGATAGGGGAAGCAACATGCCCAAGGTCACCCAGCAGGCCCCAGGCAGAGCCAGAAATACAACCTAGGTGCCCTGAGTCCCAGCCTACCATGCTAGCTGCTGGGCCACACACTGCCTCCCTAAACTAACGTTACATGTGGCCTGGACAAGTCTGACTGTGGCGAGCTGCTGCCCAGATGCACAAGCAGGGAGAAAGCACAAAGGCCAAGTTAGACCCAGTCCTACAGACTGCTCTGTTTGGCCTCTCATCTATCCCTCCCCAGGTGGCCTGGTCTAGCCTAGAGCATTTAGCCCGAGGACGGCACTGCTGCTGGGAGATTTGAACCGGGTGGGTCCCAGCAACAAACCAGGCTGAACTGGGGGTGCTAGCTGGGGAAAGCCTGTCACTAGGCCCCGGTGCATTCTGGGTTAGAAGGCCTGTGGGGGCAAGCAGGTCTGTGGAAGCCATGGCAGTTAGGACCACCTACCTACGCCAGGATCGCGAGGAGGCAGCATGGCCCACTGGGTAGGGCACTGGACTGGGCAGTTTGGTATGTGCACCACATTCCCAACTCGCTCTCCGAGTTTCCGGGTGACCTGGGCAAGCCATCACCCCGCTCTGTGCCTTAGTTTCCCCATTAGTTAAATGGGGACAATGACACTTTCCCTGGTGAAGCACTTTGGGGTCCCTGTGTCTCATGGGTGGGGTCTTCTCTCACTCTGGGGTAAGCAGAGAGGGGCACAGGTGGAAATGTGGGGTATGAGAAACAGGGCCGGCTCCAGGCACCAGCCGACCAAGCACGTGCTTGGGGCGGCACCCTAGAAGGGGCGGCCAATGTTGGGGTGGCGGGGGGCGCTCGCGGTGTTTTTTTTTGTTTCAGCCGGGCAGCGCAGTGGGTGTTTCAGCGGTGCGGCGCTGGGGGGGTTGGGCGGCGCTCGGGGGACGGGGGTTTGGGTGGCCCGGTGCGGCGCTCAGGGGGGCAGGGGTTTGGCCGGCGCGGCTCTCCAGGGGTTTGGGCGGCCCGGCGAGGCGAGGCGCGGCTCTCTGGGGTGGCAGGGGTTTGGGCGGTACGGTGCTCCAGGGGGGGCGGGGGTTTGGCTGGCTGGCCGGCGCGGTGCTCGGGGGGGGGGGCGGGGCTGGGCGCTCGGTGGAGGTTGGGTGGCCCGGCGCTGGAGCGGGGAGGGGTTTGGGCGGCGCGGCACTCGGGGGGGCGTGGTGTTATGGCGAGGCGGCGCTCTTCTTTTTTGACTGGGGCGGCAAAAAAGTTAGAGCCGGCCCTGATGAGAAAGGAGACACAGGCCACTAGGCCTTTCCGAGCTCTGCTCCCAGCCCTTTGCTGCCTGCTCTGAGAGTGTGGCACACACTGGCCCCAGTACCTGGTCAGCTCTGCTGGCTGCTCTAAGGCAGGGCAGGGGCTGCTGGCTAGTGCTGTTAGCCTTGCCCTAGGGGTGATTGCAAAAGGGCCAGATTTTCCAAAGTGCTCAGCGCCCAGCAGCTCCCACCAAGAGCACTGGGAGCTGCTGGGTGTTGAGCACTCTTGGAAAACTGGCCATTTCACCGAGGTGCCCCAATGGGAGCTGGGTTCTTGTGAGCCATGGAGCAAAGACCGTGCCAGCCCCATGCACAGGGGCACAGAGTGGGGGGTTCCTATGGGCCTGCTCAATGCCCGGGCACAATTGGGCCCCTAATGGGCCCAGCTGGAGTATTTTAAGCTGCAGTGTTCCCACAGGAGCAATACCGTCGTCTCTCAGCTGCAACCCCGTGAGCCTTTCTCTGCTCTGGCTCCGGGGTGGCTTTGGCCCCAGCTAATCAATGACCCCTCCAAACAACATGATCTTGTGAATGAATTTCAGTCCCCGCAATGCTAATCCCCTCTGTTTTCCTCTTCTGTTCCTCTCAGGCATTAACCCCCAGACCTGCAATGCCCAGCACCATGGAGACCCACCCCAAGAGCCTGGACGGGAGTGAAAAGTCCCCTGAATCCAAGGATTTGATCACTAGCAACACGGCCAGCACGCTGTGCATCAGCTCCAGGAGCGAGTCCGTCTGGACCAACACACCCAGGAACAAGTGGGAGATCTACCACAAGCCCATCGTGGTGGTTTCTGTCGGAGGCGCCATCTTCCTCTTTGGAGTGGTGGTTACCAGCCTGTCCTGCTTCATAGAGACCAATAAAAATGTTTACAAAATGTGCGGCCCGGCTTTCCTGTCCCTGGGGCTGATGCTCCTGGTTTGCGGCTTCGTCTGGATCCCCGTCATCCGGAAGAAGCAGCGGCAGAGACAGAAGTCACACTTCTTTCAGAACATCAAGTCATTCTTCTTTAACCGCTGAGGGCTGCTCAGGCTCAGCACTCACAGGTGGCAAGTAATGCCTCTTTCAGCCTGGCTGGATTTGCCATGAGATTATTAGGGCCTGATCCTGCTCTCAGACAGGCCTAGTGGATCCCCAACTTTGACCTTCTCCTCTCCCCATAGGTGAAATTCACCCCCCTGCAGGTCCTCCGTGGGCAAGTAAACTTCACACTATGTACTAGGAGAGCAGAATACTGGCATTGAGACAAGCAGGTTGGGCTCAAGCCCTAGATTTTGCTCTTGACTGTATATTGAGCAAACCTGCAAACATTGACCGTGTCTTATAGAGGACAAAGCTTTGAACTGTATTCATCAACACCCGGCACCTGTACTGCTGAACACCTGTCTGGGATGGTCTAGGTGTACTTGGCCTGCCTCAGCCCAGGGGGCTGGACTTGATGACCTCTCAAGATCCCTTCCAGCTCTACATTTCTATGAATGGGATTTCACTAGAAAATGTAAACCTTTACTCAGGGGGATGACTCTTACTCATGGGAGCAGTCCCATGGATTTGAATGCCACTACTTGTGTGAGTAAGAGTCACAGGACAGGTCTGAGAGGGTATAGCCTGAAAGGATTTCAGCTGTTCAAGATGTGCTGTGTTAATATCTGTGTTAATATCTGTCTGGGGATTGGTCCTGCTTTGAGCAGGGGGTTGGACTAGATGACCTCCTGAGGTCCCTTCCAACCCTGATATTCTATAATTCTATGATTCAATAGAGGAAACAGGGCTACACTAGGAAGGGATTGGATTGTTTTCCATAGCCATATGGCTACTACCCCTCTCTTGCTAAGATGACCAAGCACAACACTACAGATATAGATGATCCACAGTGCCAGGATATGTCAATGGGATTTGGAGGAGACAGTGCATTCAGAATGCTCTGCAAGGGCAAACAGAATCATTTCTTTCTAGCCAACTGTGCATTGGACCTCAGAGGATACATCCAGAATGATACACATGCAAGATCCACAGCTGAGAATGAAAGGGCTTAGATGGGGATGTGTATGAAGTTCATCTCATAATTATCACTATGAAACGAGCGTCTGTGTGCAATGCTACTCCAAAGCTTACTCACGACTTTCTGGTGAAGCGTGGGGTGATATTTATTTCTACCTAAACAGCCAAGCTGAAGAGCAACTGAGCATCAGAAGTAGCATTTCTCTGTTCAATTTTTTCAGACTATCTTTAAAAAATGTCATTCCTCAAGGTCTCTGGATGCAAGGCTGTATTGCACCAACTGCATATTTATCTCGGTTTGGAGTGATTGTCTCTGTCATGATGAATTCCAGCACAGCAGAAATCTCAAACATTCCACCTGGGCGGAACAAGAGCAAATGTAAATGAGATGCCTTGTTTAACTCAAGTCTATTGAACTCCTATTGTTAATAATGATGTACCCTGGGAAATTTACCTACAAAAGCAGGAATCGTTCCCAAATATTTTTGCTTAATATTGTAGTTGCCTTTTTTCAATGGGGCCCAGTTAGTTTAAAAAACCATGTAAATACAGCTTCCCAACTGCAAATCCAACTGTGCAATTGGTGTTTGGTTTGGATACTAGGGACAAGATTTTTACAAATAGTCGCCTAGTTCGTAGTTAGACACCTACATAAATTGCCTGATTTTCAAAGCAGCTGAGCTGCCATTGACTCCACTGAAGTCAATGGGAGCTGAGAAGACTCAGCGACCACAATCGGATTGTGTCTCTGGTTAGCCTCATTCTTAGCACTGAGTAAACCAATAGCTGCATGTAGACCCCTCCTTTTCCCATGTAAGGACATGGCCACGCACCGACGCCTCTAGCTTTGGTGAGGTTGCATTGTAACAGCCCCGGATGGTTTCTGACGTAGATCAACACTCATCAGAGACCAAATGGCAGCAATGCATGGAAAAGGCACAGTCTGGCTCTTCTTTGCAACCAGAATCCTCCTCACTGAGCCAAATGCAGCCATTCAGCCTGGATGGCAAGTCGAATTCCTTAGGAGAAAGAAGAAGGAAAGTCTGTGTGGCGTTGGTTGTGTTTTGCAGAACCCCTCTAATCTTCACAAAGCTTAACGATTTTGTTTCAAACATCAGAAGTGATCAGACTACCGCCGCTCCTGGTGATCGGAACAATCCCTTCGGACCTTCAAATCTGAGGGGCAGACCCTTAGCTGTTGCATGTTGTCATAATGCCATTGAGGATCCTGTGACTAGGCCGCTAGCCTAGGGCTTTGCAGACTGAGATCCAATTCTCTTCTCTGCTACAAACTTCCTTGTGCAACCTTGGGCAAGATACTCAGCCTCTCGTGCCTCAGTTCCCCTCCTGCCCTACCTCACAAGGGGGTTGGGGGGATAAATACTGTGAAGATTGTGACACGCTTTTGAGATCTCCTGGTGAAAAGCGCCAAATAAGAGCCAGGTATTATTACAAGGCGATGGAGTGATGAGAAGTGACACCAGTCCCTGCGGACAGCCTGCGTTTCCCTGGCCCAGCCGCAGAGCAGGACTGCTGCTTGAGAAGCTGACGAGCTTGTTCCCTGCTGATGAAATGAAGGGATCTTAAGCTGGAGTGTCAATTAGAAGATCACATTGGGTTCAGTGCAGCCCTGTCACAATGCGTGGCGTTCTGCACTCACAAAGACAGCTTCCCATTGCGTCTGGGGCAGGGGGCTGAGATCAGACCATACTGAGTGTTTCTTGCACTAACCGCATTTGTAGCTCTACTTTCTTTCCTGGTAATGACAGTTTTCTAATTACCCTGTGGAACATACAAGTCCATCGGGCTTGTTACTAAACTGAGCTGAGAGGAGAGTCTCTTTCAGAGCCTTGTACCTACCACAATGCTGATAGAGCTAAGCCAGCCAGGCCTGCTTCCAAAGCAATTCGACCAAAAAATAAATCCAGATGCCACAACACAAAAGTTCCTTCCGTGGACACCAGCACCCGGTGCATGGGTCTAGCCCATAGCTGCAAAGGGAAGGGTCCAGCTGCATTAACATTAATGTACTGAAATTCACCCTCTTGCAGCAAGTGCAGTGCTGGGGCTGGGCAGGGGTTCTGGGGCCTTAGGGTTAATCGATCCCAGAGAATGGAGAATGCGGCTCTGGTTTGAGCCCTGGGGTTTCATGTTAATAGAGAATGTGGGTCACAGGTGTGGACAGGGGGCCCAAGATTCAAGATAAGAAAGTATATAGCCCTAGCTCTGGTGTTCAATATTCCATGAGCAGATCCCGAAAGAATCCAAGCCATTTCTTGGCTGGCATGGAAATGGTTAACTCCCACCCATGTGCCCTGCCCCTCCCCCTTAAATTTCAGCTGTACGCCAAAGGAGAGCCTCTGGCAGGCTAACATCCCTTATACTCCAAGGTGCCTGGGACTCAGTACCTACAAGCAAACCCGCGGCTTTGCGCTTCTCTCCAGATTCTCAGAGCCGAATGCTCCACTTGACGTTCATAGGTGCAGCTCCACTGACTTGGGTGGAGCTCTGCCCATTTACACCAGGTGAGGATCCAGCCCACGGACTCTGACTCTGTCAGGGAGTCTCCTTGAGGATAGTTTTGCCTGAAATAAATGCAGCTCAGCCAGCTGCCCCTTGAAGAGTCAGATGAGGTGAGGTACCCAAGAGGTTGAGATGCTCCCCAGGCTCGGAGCACTGCCTGCTAAAGGATGGTAGTGCCATGCGTGCCAGACACCCAACCCCATCCTTAGCGCGGGCAGAGGGCTCAGCCGGCAGCTGATTTACTGGCATCCGACGTGTATTTTGAAGTGGTTGGATTGTCCATAGAGGAGTCCCCACCCTTCCCCACGGGATGTGACAAGCTGAGGGTGGCTTCCTCTTAAATCTCTCCCATGCCTTGATTTTACTCCTGTGCCTGCTAATGCCTTGTTGGGGGGATGGACGTGGCTCTGGCCAAACAGTGCCTGATTTCCGAATGCAATGAATAAACTACTGGATCAAACTCTCTTCGTTGTTTGCGTGTAACTGTGGTGATGGAAAGACACCCAGGGGTTGCTGCTCCCGGCCCAGTCTGAGGAGAGGGCATTCGAGTCCCATGCTGCTGCCGGGGTCACAAGCAGTCCTGCTTTCAAAAATCCAAGACAGACTGCCCACGTGAGTAAGAACTACTCCCGGGACCCCTCAGGGCTGCTGTGAAACTTGAGAAACGCCTGGGTCGTGTGCCGACCCCTCTACCCAGGTGAATTTTCCAGATGCACCATTGATTTATATAAAGGCGTTATCGTATGCTCTGTATTATTCCCCTCCCATTGCCTATGCATCCTAACATCGTTTGCTTTTCTTGACTGCAGCTTCACACTGAGCAGGTGTCTTTATTGATTGATCTACAAAGGGCATACACAGTTCAATTGAAAGTCTCTGCTCAATGTGCAGCTTTGGTCAAAGGAGACGTTAGGATGCATAGGGAACAGGATGGAGAATAACACAGAGCAGAGTAATGCCTCTGTATAATCAATGGTGCGTACTGTGTGCAGCACTGGACACCCCATCTCCAAAAGGATATTGCAGAACTGGAGGGTGTTGAGAATGATCGAGAGCCTAGATAAACTCTCCTATGAAGAGAGATTGAAAAGACTGGGAGTGTTAGCCTAAAGAGGAGACAGATAAGAGGGGATATGATAGAACTATATAAAATAACTAGTGGGCTAGAGCAAGTAGCTCAGGAACATCTCTTCTCCCGGTCATCACACAAGAACGAGAGAGTCACCTCAATTAAAAGGGGCCAAACCTGAAAGTGAGGAAAGGAAACGTGTGACTAGACTGTGGAACTCACGGTCACGGAAAGTTGTAGTGGTGAAGGATTTAGCAAGACTGAAAAAAGAGTCATCAGACTCTAGAATAAAGGTATGGGAGTCCTTTCCAGAATAGTTTGGATGGAGCATAAGCACTGTTTTAAGAAGGTATCATGTTACACGCCCAATCTGATTATCTCCAACCCTTGCTAAAGCAAGGTTAGATGCTACTTGCCTCCTCCCCTTGTTCTATAAAAAGAGAAGGAAATTCGTTACAAAACTCATTACCGCTGCGCATCAGCAGTTCAAATGTGCACATGAAAGGTC